ACAACATATACAAAATGGTCCAGAGCAGATGCATTTTTTATATCGATATTGAATTTAAGATTTTTACTCTCCAAAACTGAAATGGAAAAATTAAGCTAATACGGATCTTAAAATTAATCCTTAATGCACTAAATGAATCGATAAGCTGTTCTGACTGTTCATTTGATGAACTCTTTGTGATCATTACATTTTTTGGCTTAAAACACTCAAGGAGGTCTGGAATGATAATCCAGTGAGCGGGGCAATCCCAGCTCTAACAGTTGTGACCCTTTCTGAAACAAAACAAAAACTGATTATAGGCCGAATGACAGAAGATTGGATGAATTAATTTACTTATCACAGGTGATAGCTGTGAAGACTTTCTTGTCCAGAATAAAATTTAAATTATTTTATTGAACACTCATTTTAATCCCTATTCTCTAATATGCCTGTATGAGATTTTAGAGCAAATTGTGCAGTCTGTGATCTAATCTGTGATTAGATCCATAGACAAGGACATAAAATCGTGTGTTACTTCTTTCTGTAAACATACTATAAGCACACTATATCTTATAAGCACACTATATCCTCAGACTTGGAACAGTTGATTTCACATTGTCAGTAATAAAAGATAATTCTTTCCCCCCAGCATACTGGCAAACAGAAACAAAAGCTTTAAACGCGAAAGTCATCATTGTAATAATGTCAAAAATGAACAGGCTTCTGGTTGGTCTGAGCAGTCCGTACAAGAGTGATGATAGCGCTTTGGAGATCAGTTTGCAGTCAGATGGGTGATAAATGTATGTCATGACGCAACAGTTCCCCACCCAGAGCACAGCCCCAAGCGCAGACCCTCACCATGGGCAAAGCAAAGTACCAACACGTTCATCACAGCAGAGACCACAAATCCAAGCAGAAAAACTTAGTCCTCTTCACTAGGGGAGTGGAAACAAGACAGGCTTATGCCTGTGATAGATTGGACTTCAGCCATTGTCTCATAATAAGGAGTCTAGACCAACTTCTCACCGTGGGACTGAGAGACGGTGTAAAGGGCCCAAGAAAATAAAAAAGCAAAAATAATAATAATAATAATAATAAAGGGCCCAAGTGCATGCTTTATATATAAGAACCCCAGGTTTCATCTGCAGCAACTAGTAATCCACCAGCACCACCAAAAATGACTGTTGAGCTCCGTGCTCCACTGGGGTGTTAACCCCACCCCCCAAAAAAAGATCAGCAAGAATCCATCTCACTAGAATGTTGAGTGAGAACGCCACATATCAAAAGTGTGTGAGCTATGTGATAGACACTTTATGTACAAGTTCAAGGCAATAATTCCTATGGACACATGCATTTATAGTCGAGATGTTCTTTACGAACGCATGCATATACATAAGCGATATAACATGCATTTTTATACCTGGTAACAGTTTTTTTAACCTTTCAAGAGGAACATTAGAGAATGTTCTCGTGCTCTGTGTCATTGGTGATAACTAGTTGAAATAACTATATGTCTTTTAAAGCATTCTAAAGGCATGAATTTTTTTTTAAAAAATTGGAACTGATTATTTTGTTTTCCTATTATTATTATTGTCATCATCTTTATCGTTATTTTCTACTTTGACCTGCCCAAAGAACATTTAACCCCCTCGCGTAGCAGGCGGTGGTAGACCAGACACACCTGAGGAAAGAATGACTTTCCCTTCGTATATCAAGCAACATTTGCAAAATAACAGACAAGAAAGGGAATCGGCAGCTCATACGTTGAAGTGATGCATGCAGTTCTGCCTAACAAAGTGAAGGAAGGACAGGAGGAGCAGGGAATGCGGTAGGATCGCAGATTTAAACAGGGCCCAGATGATGCAAGCCGTGCAATATGCAGATATACTTGGACTGAATCCAGCATCCGCAAATCCAGGCTGATCAGCGAAATTAATGGGGTCTATTTCAGATTTCGAGAGTTAGCGTTTCTGTAAATAGCGACCAAGATACCATTTTCTAAAAAAGGGTTCTTTCTTTCCCAAGTCTGCCCCATCTATGTCTCTTGCTCATTCTAACATCCCTCGAGTGGAAGGGGTTGGTATCGCTCTCCATCTCGGCAATGGGAAATTGCAATCCAAAATGAGCTCAGAACGAGTTTATCCTGCTGGTGTTCAACACACCTGTACTTAGGCTTCACTGATCCTTGCTGCCCCTGCCTGAGGCAGATGATGAGGAGACACACACACACACACACACACACACACACACAAACACTCACACACACACACACACACACACACACTTTGTGCTGGTCGCTCAGGAGGCTTTTTAAACTTCCAGTTCCTCCAGTTTCTTATAGGCTGAAACCCATTTTATAAAACAAAATTGAGCTGCAAATCGAAGTGTGCTCAGCAGTCAGGATCTGCCCATCACCGCCAAACCCTCGTGGGTGTGAAGGCTTGGTGGCACGGTTAACCTCATCATCTTTGTATTTTGTGTTGGGTGTGGCTGGGGGCAGAGATGAAAGGGAAAGAGCAGCTAGCACCATTCCAGGTGAGAACCGATGCCTGTCATTACTAAATTGTGGGTTGTTGGAACTGCAGTGACAGATTCAAGAGAAAATGAGAAGGCGGTATTTAATAACCGTGCTCCATTAGTAGATTGCTTTTTAGTGACCTTGTACTGAAGAAGTGGGCAGGGATAATGGGTTCTAGTGGTTTTTCACTTTCACCATATTTCCAGTCTCAGTACTTAAACTGTTCAATAATGGATTTTAATTTCTGGTGATCTTCTTCCTCCGAAAGTGATCGTATGGTTCTTACGGTCACATGCTGTCTCACTTAGAGTTTCACAATTCCCCCGAAGAGCCAGTGGACTTGGACAAGCAAAGGGAAGGTCGGTGGAGAAATCTATCATGTTTCTCATTATTGACTTTTTAATGGGCGATAACTTGCTGGAGTGTTTCGGAGTTAACTATTGACTATCCGGTAATTGAAGCATTTCATGAGAAACGATGAAGGCTCATGGTTCAAGTAGCATTAGAGCTTGATTCAAAAGCATTTCCTTTTTTTCTTTTTTTTAATGTAGGAGTACTGCTATTTATTCAGCCACTGATTAGCTGATTAAATTGGGCATGAACTCCACCTTTTTTTCATAATTTTATTTAGTTTTCTTATATTTATTTATTGAATCACTGTGGGAAAAGTTACTAAGCTTTCAGGTTTAAGTTTCGGTCATGCAATGATCAAACACCTTTCTCTTCACCAGTACTCATTTTTCACCACCAAGAACCCCAATATACGCCCCTCCCAATGCCTGTGAGGCAGATGATTTCCATTGAACTCTTCTCTACATTGATTACATTCATTATCTCAACAAAAGACGCACCATTATTGTTTAGAATTCCCCCCCCCAACAATCAGAATTGCTGAAAAGGCATTGTGAATTACTTTATTTTCTGTAGCTGGTTATGAGAATCATATAATCTTGCATGGCCGCAATAGCAGCCTTGCAATTTTGGATTTCTGCAAAGACCCAGATAATTATGAGATTGGTTTCTGTGCATCTGGTGTTATGGCCGTGCCGGAGAGTCGCTCGTGGGAGGCAACTCATGACCTCAGTAGGGTGTGAAGGACATTCCGCTACCGCCCCCCTTCCCATGAGACTGCAGTTGCCCCGTCACCGCTGGCTCATACCTGGCTTTTCAATAAGCTCTGAGGCAGCAGCCGCCTTGCTGCTGGGCTGGAAAAAGGCAGAAGGGAGCAACACCCTTTCCCTCCCAGGAAGCCATGGAGCCGTAGTTTAATGCATGGTCCATTCACTTTTCTGCCGCAAGCTGCCAGGCTCTGGATTAAGTCCTTTTGTCTCTGGAGCCATGGCCATGCCAGAGAGTTGCTCGTGGGGGGCAACTCTTGACCTCAGGAGGGTGTGAAGGACGTAGCGTTACCACCCCCCTTCCCGTGAGACTGCAGTTGCCCTGTTACCGCGGGCTCATACCTGGCTTTTCACTGAGCTCTGAGGCTGCGGCCACCTTGCTGCTGGGCTGGTAAAAGGCAGAAGGGAGCAACACCCTTTCCCTCCTGGGGAGGCATGGAGCTGTAGTTTAATGCATAGTACCATTCGCTTTTCTGCTGCAAGCTGCCAGGCTCTGGATTAAGTCCTTTTGCCTCTGGAGCCATGGCCGTGCCAGAGAGCCACTTGTGGGGGGCAACTCGTGACCTCAGTAGGGCAAGAAGGACAAGCCAGTACCGCCCCCCTTCCCATGAGACTGCAGTTGCCCCATCAATGCTGGCTCATATCTGGCTTTCCAAGAAGCTCTGAGGCAGCGGCCACCTCGTATGCGGTCCAGATGCATTTCTGCCAAAAGGTGCTGGGTTTCGAGATTTGTTTGAGTCTCTGGGATCATGGCCATTAATTAGCTTGATCAGGAGACAGGCAGTTTGTAGGCGGCGACTCGGGGTCTCGCTGGGATGGGGAGGAAAGGGCTGGTTCCACCCCCATCTGGTGAGGCCCCACATGTCACGTCACTGCAGGCCCAAACCTGACTGTCCAGTAGTCTCTGGAGTATGGTGGTCACCGGGCCGCCAAGGGGAACAGACCAATGCACGAAACCTGTTCCCATCTGAATTGGCCCAGCGCCAGTAACCTACTGCAGGAATAGGGCACATTTCTGCCAAAAGCCTTTGGGTTCCAAGATTCGTTTCTGAGTCTCTGGGATCATGGTCATTAAGCAGTTCAATCAGGAACCAGAGAGGCCTTGCCTCCAATTATATAGCCGAGCCAGAGGTGGTTTGTGGGTGTGTCTCCCACATACCTAACTGTTGGCCGTTTACTTTCTTGGTAAACTTTACTTTCCCCCAAGTTTTTGGGGTCTGACCAAAGGCACAGCAGCAATTTTGAGGTATCTGAAAGCCTAACGGTGCCATCAGGTTGCTGATGCACTCACCTCACAGGTACAAATTGAACTGCTGGCGGCATCATACCCCCCAAACGCATTTCTTAATAGAGATAAATTATGTGAGTCTTTTTCTTACCTGTAGGGCAAAAGTTGGATTGTTAAAAGAAGTTACGAAGATTTCCGGGTACTTGATAAACATCTCCATCTATGTATTTATGACCGAAGATTCTCCCAGCTCTCCGAGCTCCCCCGTTCTGACGCCCTGAGGGACAGTCCAGAGGTAAGCACTCAGTTCTCTGCAGAACCAATCACCAGAAAGCAACATGCATGTTTGCATGCACGGTCATGATGATTCCTGAGATTAGTTAACTGCTCTGTCATGAAAATACTATAATAATGTATGTAGGATGTTCATAAAGTAGCTTCTGTGTATAAGTTTATAAGGAACACCCCCTCCCGTTATAAAATGAGCAGTGAATGTGAGCAGACCACTTTTCACAGAGAATATAAAAGAGGAAAAAATGTCCACCTTGGGACTGCAAGGTTGTACAGCTCTTAAGGTACTTGCTTTGCATAGAGCTGACCCTGGTGAATCCCTGACATTGCATGTGGTCCCCTGAGTACCGTGAGGAGTGACCTATGAGCACAGGGCCAAGAATAAGCCTCACTGAGTCCTGCAGGTGTGGCCAAAAACACCCTTCCAGCTCCTCACATATATAATGTATTATATATATATATAATTTAATGTTATATAACACTATGTAATATAATTTTATAATTACATGCTATTTTATATAAGAATGCTGCATATAAAATTATTATAATTTGATATTTTTCTTTTTAATTTTATAATATATATTTTATATATAAAAATTTAGACTTCACTCATTCAATCAAATGAATATCAAACCAGTCCTATTTGTTAATTATAGCACTGTCCTGCACTGTCTTTCCACTGTTCATCGATTTGCTCGAGCGGGCCCAGTAACGTCTCCATTGGAGACTTTGTTGTTACTGTGTCTGGCATATCGAATACTCTCGGTAGCTTGCCGGGCTCTCCGAGAGGGGCGGAGGAATCGAACTCGGGTCGGCCATGTCGGCTGCGTGCAAGGCAAACGCCTTTCCGCTGTGCTATCGCTCCAGCCCAATATATGTGCATACATAAGTAAATATATAAACATGTATTTATTTATGTATATATTTATATTATGTTTATTTCATTCATTTATTTTTGCTTTTTGGGGGGATCACACCCAGCAATGCTCAAGGGTTTATTCCTGACTGTGCACTCAGGAGTCACTCCTGGCCATGCTCAGGCGACCATATGGGATCCCGGGGATCGAACCCAGATCGGCTGCGTGCAAGGCAAATGCCCAGCCCTCTGTACAATGGCTCCGGCCCCTATTTATATTATGTTTATACTTATTTATATTGTTTCTATTTCTACTATGAATATATTTATATTGTAAATATATTTATTGTAAATATATGTGTCTATATTTACTGTATACCTATATGCACTTATATCAAAGAATAAAGCAGATAAGAGTCGCACAGTGACATTTGGGAATCAAAGAGAAGACCTGGAAATTCCCGCATCATCCCTTCCAGGAAGTGAAAGGAGGGGAGAGTAGCTGAAAGTAACTTACTCCGAACGTGGAACCTTCCCAAAAGTTAAAGGCATCTTTTCAGATTAAATGGGCACATGAAGTGCTAACGCTGCTGATAAAAAGACACACGTTTAAAATTACAGATCTGAGAAAATCCCAAAGCTTACAAGGGAACAAAAGAAATAGAAATTCTTGTCCTCTAAAGAACAAGAATTGTAGTGACATTAGACATCTCACCAGGTACAGCAGGTGCCTGAAATCGTGTCAGTACCCTCCACCAGCTGAGGGGAAGCCCTGGCGAGTCTGTAACTGCTCATTCCACGGCAGTTCAGGAGGGGAGTGAAGTAGGGACGTTCTCGGGTCTGCAAGAACCGACTCTCCTGTCGTGTCTCGGGAGGGTTTTGACCCCTTCACTTTCTTCTGTGTGATGAAAAACCCAGAGATCTCTCCATTTCCATTCCCATCCCAGCCCATCTCTTCCATCTCTCTGGAACCGCCTTAGGTCAGGGCCAACAGCCCCCCAGCCTCTGGGCTTTCTCTCTTTGAGGCGGACTGAAGAGACGCCTTTGCGTCAGTTTCCAACCCAGCATGAACTTGGCAGGCCAGCCAGTGTTTGATCACCACATTCCTGGGCCAGGTGACCGGCCCTCAGTGGCAGGCCTCCACAACCAAGGGCCTGAAAGGGGAGGAGAAAGCGCTTCGGGGTGGCTGGGAGAGTAGCGGGCCGAAAATTCAGGTGTGTCTTTGCCAGAGTGACCTTTTCATAGTTTCAGCATGCAAATAGGAGGAGGAGGTGGGGGAGGAAAGAGTCGAAATAGTTTGGCCTCTGGTGTGATGTGACGCGTTAAACGAGAAAGTTCTCTGTTAGTCAGAGATCTCTGCCTCAGTGCCCGGCTGCTGCAGTCCTCGGGGGACTTTGAGCTCAGTCTCGGAAGAATCCTGTCAGATCAGAAGCTATTTCCCCCTCCCCCCAAGCCTCCAAACAACCAGTTTGTACCATTTGCCCTGACAGACAATGTCATTTGCCCTCTGAGTCACCACGGAATCTTCTTTTTCTCTTAGTCAGTCACTCAGATGCTTATGGCTTACCTGTCCCGCCTTTCAGCTATTGCTGGCAACAAGATCAACTGTGGACCTGCTCTCACTTGGATGGAGGTATTAATCTAATTCAACTCCTATTTAAGTTTTTTTTTTTTCGATTATTGACTTACGACGTTTGAGATTTCATCTTGAGAATTCACTTCCTGTCAAGTTTCAGGAAATGAATGAAATTTATTCTCGTCTCCTGGAAGGATAGCACCGTAGCACTGTCCTCCCGTTGTTTGTCGATTTGCTCGAGTGGGCACCAGTAACGTCTCCATTGTGAGAGTTGTTACTGTTTTTTGGTATATCGAATACGGCACGGGGAGCTTGCCATGCTCTGCCATCCGGGCGGGATGCTCTTGGTAGCTTGCCGGCCTCTTCAAGAGGGATGGATGAATCGAACCCGGGTTGGCCGCGTGCAAGGCAAATGCCCTACCCGTTGTGCCATTGCTCCCGCCCTTCTGGAAGGATAGATGTTAAATGTCATTATTTTTTAATGTCAGATCTGGCTTTGTAAGAAATATCTTTATGTACCAGGAAATTAATTTTAATACATTTTCTGAATTATATGTAATTTGTTGTTTTGGTGTTCAGTGTGTTAAAATGTGTGCATTTGGGAAGATATATACATTTTTCAGTTGATTTGTTTGAATTTCAGTTGACAAGAATGAGAGACTTTGGGGCCGGAGTGATAGCACAGCGGGTAGGGCATTTGCCTTGCACGCGGCTTACCCAGGTTCAATCCCTGGCATCCCATATGGTCCCTTGAGCACTGCCAGGAGGAATTCCTGAGAGCAAAAGCCAGGGGTAACCCCTGAGCATTGCTGGGTGTGACCCAAAAAAAAAAAGAAAGAAAAAAGAAAGAATGAGAGACTTTACCTTTTAAAGGGTCTTATTTAAAAGTTAAGCCTCATCTGATGAATATGGTAGGTTTAGCCCCTTCAATTGCGTGTGTAAAGTTTTATTCTCTTCCAGTGGAAAATGGGAGGACAGGGTGGTAGGTTAAAAGAACAGATAACTTAGAGGCAAGACTTAGAGTGAAATTTGCCTTGAGATGTTGACTCCTCCATTATTGGCTGTGTTATCTGGGACCAGTTATTTAACCTCTCGTAAATTACATAATCTCTTTTAGCGCTAGTATCTTCACCTGTGAACGATGGTAGTGAAGCATCTTTTAGAGTTGTGAGGAATAAATTGTGCATATTGTACATGTAGCACAACGAATGGCATTTATTAAGTATTTGGTCAATGGTAGTTTGGTTGGTAATTTTTTTTAGAGATTAAAAGAAAATAAACCCTTTATAGATTCCATTTGGATTATGGTCTTCAAATCAACTTGAATTATCCTTTATAGTCAGAGAAACTTTTGCAATGCCTGTATCTGCAGAGACACATTTTCCTTGTTGCAGATTGATAATAAGGGCAATCACCTTCTGGTTCATGAGGAGTCGTCCATCAACACTCCTGCCGTGGGTGCTGCTCATGTCATCAAGAGGTATACTGCCCGGGCCCCGGACGAGCTGAACTTAGAGGTAAGTGGCTCCACACTGCTCTCTTAGTTTCCCGCTGCCTTTCCGGGGCTGAAAATTAGTGGGGAGGACGTTTGCCTTAGATGCTGCTGACCTGGGTTCAATCCCCAGCATCCCATATGGTCCCCTGAGTACCACCAGGAGTAATTCCTGAGTGCCGAACCAGGATTAACTCCTGAGCATCACTGAGTGTGCACCAAAACAAACAAACAAAAAAAACAACAAAAATGAAATAAAAAGCACCAGGCTTTCCTATGTCCTGTTATCTTTCAGTCTGAAATGCTCTTTTTGTTGAATCGATTGTACTCATCTCTGAAAATAGAGCTGAAATGTTCCCCATTTATTCTAGGATGTTATCCCTGGTTTCTTTCCCCTCTGCTCTTTTTGCAAATATATTAATTTCCTTTCAAACCTGGCTCGAGTGTCATTCTGAACTGTTCCGGGGACTTAGCACTTTATACTGTCAATCTTCATTTCAATCAAATAAATTCTCCAGTTTACCTCTCAGAGCAGGTCTAAGGCTTCCCTCTGTGTGGTTTAAATATCTAAAAATGATACTCAATGGTACTGTGTTTTCACTGCTCAAAAATTACAAAAAATTGCAGAGCTGATGAACAGTGAAATAAAAGTTGTTGTATCAGATGCAAAAGGAGGGGAATTAAGTATATTAATGTTGGCTGGGATGAAATAAATGCTGAATCATACAGCTTAAGGCAGAATGGTATAGAATTTGTACGCCATTGAATCTAAACTTTTCCCAAACTACATTTTTATATCTTTGGACACAAAGCAATATTGGTCTTGAATTATGCCCTGCCTTGTTAGCAAATATGATTCTGTGAAAATGACTCTTTCCCTGACTTGAAAAATGAGTTGTAAATGTACACAGAAAAATTCTTCAAGCACTGTTGTCTATACGTTAGTGCCATTGCTCTGAATTACTTAATTTTATAATTTATCACAGAACTTGTCACTTGCCTTGAAGAATATAATTTCCATTGCATTATCAATACCTATCTGTGATTTTTAAATTTATGATTGACAAGTTTGTGTAAAGGTAAAGGTAAAGGCCCTCCCGTTGATCGTCGATTTGCTCGAGCGGGCCCAGTAACGTCTCCATTGGAGACTTTGTTGTTACTGTGTCTGGCATATCGAATACTCTCGGTAGCTTGCCGGGCTCTCCGAGAGGGGCGAGGAATCGAACTCGGGTCGGCCATGTTGGCCGCTTGTAAGGCGAACGCCCTACCCGCTGTGCTATCGCTCCAGCCCCTAATTTGCCTTCGAGAGTGAAAAAAAGCAAGCTACTTAGTGGACATGTATATCTTTTGCCCTGTAGTGAAAAAAAAAATAAGTGTAGTCGACATCAGATTTTATGTGTGATCAATCCAGTAGTTAAGAACTAATCCTGTTTAATTAAGACTGCCAAGTTCTCAGCCAATGCCCAGTGCATGACTGTAGCACTGTCCTCCTGTTGTTCATCGATTTCCTCGAGGGGACACCAGTAACGTCTCCATTGTGAGACTTGTTACTGTTTTTGCCATATCAGATACACCACAGGGAGCTTGCCAGGTTCCGCTGTGCGGGCGGGATACTCTCGATAGCCTGCCAGGCTCTCCAAGAGGGACAGAGGACTCGAACCGGGGTTGGCCGCATGCCAGGCGAACACCCTACCCGCTTTGCTATCGCTCAAGCCCATTAAATGTGCTATTAATAGAAACCATTGTTCAAATAAGAGTATTGAAAGCCTTCCCCCCCGTATTTGAAACTGTTTTATATGTGAAATTGATCACCTTTAGTCACAGCAATAATAGTAATTTCACAAAATGTTAACGATGGCCTGATAGCCCACATTCAAAAGTCTCACTTTCTAAATCCGGCTTTCTGAAATCCTTGCGTATGTTAGATCATCCTCATTGTACAGAAACTCTCTGCAACAAAAAGGACAAGGACAGAAGCCCTTCAAGAAAGCAGTGTTGGGTTTCTCCAGAAATGATTGGCCAGTGAACCAGAGGGTCCCCACCCTTCCTGTCGCAGTCTCGATTGAAATCCTACCCTGAAGCGTTGCTTTGAAATTTGACAAAGATCCTTACTCCTGTTTCCTCACCAGGTGGGAGACATCGTGTCTGTCATCGACATGCCCCCCAAGGTGCTCAGCACGTGGTGGAGAGGCAAGCACGGATTCCAGGTGAGCAACCGAGAGAGACGCTCGGGAAAGTTCAGAGAAACACCGCTTCTCTCTGCCTCAGTGGTGTAGGCTGGCGTGGTGTAGCCCCTGGGCTTCCTGAGAACCTGCGTCTTCAGTGGTGAGAGGAACATGGTTGGGGTTGGACTCCGATTTCCTCCCACACTTTCTGCCCCTCCTTGCTTGAACGTTGTTAGTGCAAGCGAAGACCTGGGACTCAGCCACACTTTCAGCACCGGTTTTAAGCCATGAGTCACTTTCTGTGGTCTCTCTAGAATTTGATATTTGATCACTAGTTTTTCTGTTGGCTTTTTTGTAAATGCGTTGTAACTGCTACTGTGAATAGTGCCTTCTTTGCAGAACAACAGAATCTAAAGTCAACTTATTTCTTTTTTTTTCCAAACCTGATAACCCCATGTTTTGGGGTTTTTGTTTTTGTTTTTTTTCTTTTTGGGTTGCACCCAGCGATGCACAGGTGTTATTCCTGGCTCATGCACTCAGGAATTACTCCTGGCAGTGCTCAGGGGACCATCTGGGATGTTGGGAATCAAACCCGGGTCGGCCGTGTGCAAGGCAAACTCCCTACCCACTCCAGCCCCGGTAACCCCATCTTTTAGATGGACCAACAATCATTTCCATCAGTTGTGTAGATTTTATCTTTTAAACCTACCAGTAGAAGGACATCTGCAAATGCTTTAAAATTAGGCCCTCCTTCTATAACTTTTGTATTTGTGGTCTGTTTTTAAAGACATTCCTAAAATGCTGCTGGAACACAGTGTGCATGCTGTGAAGTAAGAAATATTAATAAAGGATTGACCTTTAAATACCTATTAAGTAAAGTCAAATGTAATTCTTACATTAGGCTTTAGAAACTGTGTTTTATTAAAGAAATTGAGTCCTGTAGTTTAAAGCAGGACCGCAAGATCATTAAGGAGCATGGACTCAAGGGCCATGTGGATAGGATCAGTCTGCTTTTTCTCGTACCGTTCTTTCTCTCCTCCATGTCACGTTCCCCCATCTATAAACAGAGATTGTAGGATAATATGTAAGTGTATCATGCAGATTCAGTGTGAGGACAAAGTATGCAGAGCCAGCTCCCTGCCCACTTGTGGTCAGTTCAGCCCTTTTGTATGGCTTCTTTCTGAAGGATAATTCGCTTTTTAAATGTTTCTAATAGACATGATTAATTCCCATTACTTGATGTGTACTGGTGTAGGTTGGCATATAACTCAGAATGTGTATAATCTTCTGTGTGACTTAGAGTTATTTTTTTTCCCTATAATTGAACACTGCCATTTCTAAACTCCGTCCATTCCATTATTTATGGACAAGGTGCTCTGTTGATCTGCTGGGGTTGCCATAGCAAATCAGCACACTCGGGATGACTTAACAGAATTACGTTGCCTCATGGTTCCAGAGACAAGATCAGGGTGTTGTTCCCGTGGGTTTCAGCTCCCACGTGGCTGCCTTCCTAGGGTGCCCGGACGCTCTTTCCTGTGTTGTCTCTGGATCTCTGGATCCTAATCTCTGACACCAGATTTTATAGGAATATCCTCATGGTGCTGTTGAATCATAATCCCTTCTTTGAAGATACTCCCTGCCTGGGGAAAAAAAAGTCACCTTTTAATGCACCAGAGGCCTCGGGGGCCAGCATTAGGGATTCAAACCCCGAATATTGGGAGGATACAGTGTGGTGGGCCCACCTTGTGGGTTGGCCTGAGGCCCTCAGACCCTCACCCAGGCAAGAAGGGAACACGGAGACAGAAGTGTGTCTCCCCTGGGAGAAGATGAGGAGGGATGGGGTGTCTTCCCCAGGACCCAGGACAACACTGAGAACCCACTCTCAGGAAAGTAAGTGAAAGGAAATAAGAATGTGGGTTGCCTCCTTGACTCCGAGGCTGCCGAGCTTTCTGGAAACACACCGTGGGACATGGGCCTATGGGTCACCTCTTCTAGGTCTCCAGACGTGAGTTCCACGTCTTCTCTTCCGTCATGGTGAAAGTGTGTGTGTATGTGTGTGTATGTGTGTGGGTGTGTGTGCACGCGTGCGTGCATGCGTGCGTGTGTGTATGTGTGTGTGTGTGTGTGTGTGTGTGTGTGTGGTGTCTAGGCTTGCACCTAGACTTTTCTGTGCTCAAGTGTCTTCCTGTCGCGTTGACTGGTGCAGGGAACTTGCTGCATTGTGGCTGTTTTATTTCATTGTCATGTAAGAAATAAGTAGAACATTTTGGTTTTTTTTTTCAGTATATGTTTAAGTTGAGTTGAGCAGATGTACGTGGTTTCACCCAGCAGTGCTCATATGCACTTGGTTTTCTCCTATTATTAACTCCTTATTTTAGCGAGCACAGAGTGGAATTGGAAAAGTGCTGGTATATCTTAATCACCAACTGTCTGACAGAGTTCACAGACACGCAGAATATTAAGAGCTATTTCTAGGAGGGGGGGTTCCTGAGGAAAGGGTCAGAATTATGTGGATAAAAATGCAGTGTCAGGTGGGAGGGATGCTGGGATTCGTGGTGGTGGGAAATGGGCACTGGTGGAGGGATGGGTATTTGATCATTGTATAATTGAAACCCAAGCACAAAAATTTGTAAGTCTAAAAAAATAAATAAATAAAATAAAATCATTATCTGGTAAGGTTAAAAAAAAACAAAAAAAGCAAATAAGCAAAAAAAAAAAAAATGCAGTGTCAGTTGGGGCCAGAAAGACACACAGTACAGCGGGTACGGTGCTTGCCTTGTAGACAGCTGACCCTGGCTTGAATCCTGGCAGCACATATGATGCCCTGAGCATCACCAAGGAACCATCTCTGAGCACAGCCAGTGTCACCCAAAAACAGAGAATCGCGATGTTCTTTTTATCTCCTCTGACACAATGATTGACACTGATTTGTTCCCGTTAATGAGCCAGTATTTTGTTGACTATAATCTGTTGTTGATATTCAAGTTCACTCTACTGTGGAAGCTTGTGGATTCTGACAAAAGTCTGACATTGGTCCATCTGACCTTTTCCTGCGGAGTCGCGTGGGTGCTGCAGGAACCTGGTCTGCTCTCCGTCCCCTCGCCACCGGAGATCATTGCTGTCGTCCTAGTTGTGCCCTCTGCAGACTTAAGACACTGAATTGTGCAAATATGGAGTCTTTTCACACTGGCTCTTTCACGTAAAAACGTGATGTAGTAGTCTTCCATGTTTTCCCATGGCTTGATAACTTTTTTTTCCAAAGCATGGTTTAATATTCAGTGTTAGGGAAGTGCCAGAGTTTATTTATCTCACTAAAGGACATCTTGATCACATCTAGTAAATTTTTTTTTGGCAATTAGGAATAAAACAGCTATAAACATCGCTGTGTAAATGTATGTGGCTGTAAGTTCTCAGCTCTTTTGGGTAAATATCAAGGGCTGTGATCTGGATCATATGGTAAGATCATGTTCAGTTTTGTAGGAGACCCAGCTGTCTTTCAAAGTGCTTGTGCTGTTCTGCATTCCCCCCAGCAGTGAGCAAGCGTTCCTGCTGCTCTGTGTCCCCGCTGACGTTGGACGACTGGGGTATTAGCTGTTCTAGTAGATTTTTAGTGGTGGGTGTTGGCTCGTTTTCTTAATTTGCAAACAAAGCTGATCCAAGATAGAACATTGACTACCATAGAATGTACACTTAAGGCTGCTGTGTTACCTTCATTCCTGTAGGACCGTTATTTCTAGTCTCCATTTTCTGGTGATTCTCAAACTTGAGTGTGCTTAAGAATGCAGGGGATGGGGCCGGAGCGGAAAGGGCGTTTGCCTTGCACACGGCCGACCTGGGTTTGATTCCCAGCATCCCACATGGTCCCCTGAGCACTGCCGGGAGTAATTGCTGACTGCAGAAGCCAGGAGTAACCTTTGTGTATCACCGGGTGTGACCCAAAAAGCAAAAAAAAAAAAAAAAAAAAAAAAGAATCCAGGGGGTCTCCTTTAAAATCATGCTAAAATATAAAATGCTGTTACCGAGACCCTAAAATTCGATTTAAGTCGGTCATTGTGTGGGGCTAGGGAGTCAGCCTATCTTTTCATCTCTGGTTCTGACCCAGTTGTCCCTCAGAACCCCATTTCCACATAGCACTTAGCTTGCTGCGGGCCAGTTCCGCCCAGCGGTGGGGGGTTGATCCGGATCAGCCTTTGCCAAGTTCCCCACTCTGTGTTGTTTTAGCCCAGACCATAACTGAGCTGTGTTAACATACGGGTGAGCGCGTCCTGGTGTTAAAAATTGTATCCTGACTCCGTTTCTTTTCTTAGACTTCTGGAGTAGGAAGTGTGAAATTATATTAACGATAGTAATTTGAAATTCTGAAATGGTTTTCTTTATTAGTTTTTCTGAAGAATGTATTGAATCCTTTTAGCTTTGTTTTTCTGAGGTGTTTTTGTCATATAATGTACTTAGGGGAAAACATTTTTTGTTTTTTCTTTTCTTCTTTAAACGGCATCAACTTTTACAACTCTCGTTTAGAAATGTGAGGTGAGGGGTCTGGCTGGCCTTTTTTTCCTTGGGTAAAAGGTGTATTGTATTTATACACAAATAAAAAATGCTACTAATCTTCGGAGATTGTCTGCTTAGTGGCATTTCTCAGTGTTTGGTCTGGGAGCCACAAGGATCAGCATGACATAGGAAATATGTTGAACCTTGAAACTGCTGATCAGAGCCTTAGGGGATGGAGCAAGAGTCTGGGATTTATCTGCTTCCTCAGTTGGTTATTAAGTACAAAATAGGGGAACCTGACCCAGACTTGTGGGTGTCCTATGCAGAGACAAGAGAACTTAAACACAGTTTAGCTAGTATTCCATCTTCCCTCCAGAAAAATCTTCCTTCAGATGCGATGCATTGAATCCCATGTATCAAATACCATTAGGAGATGGATGAGATTTTATGCAGCTCACTTTCTGTTTCCCTTCAAGATGAACAAAGATCAGCTATTTCATTGTTCATAGTTTTCCAACAATGTGGCAAGATTGTTTGATTTTTTTTAAAGAAAT